TTTTTTCATTTAAATAGGAGTTTGCCTTTTGCTGTTTAAAATATTAAGAAGTTTCCTCTATGAGAAAATAAAAACAAAGGTTTGGAGACCTTTTACAACGTACTTTTTGGTTATATAAGATTCCTTTAAGATCCTATTTTCTTTATTTCTGCTCCCCACACCACTCTCTCCCTCTCCCTCACTTCCTAGCTTGCTCTCTCTGTCTCATTTGACAGGCAAATTTGCAGACATTGCCGCAGGATAACAACCTCGTTTGACAGTCAATTAACCGTGAATAGTCAAAGCCAAGGCAGTTTGCATTACATAAATGGAAAATTAGATTCCTTTTTCCCAAGAAACAAAACCCTCTCCTTAAGACACTGCAATAGACAACTTAGTATCAAAACTTCTAATCACGTCTTTCCCAAACCCCTTGGAGACATTTAGCAATCAGTAAAAGGTGGTTTCATTTAATTTGTATAATGTAATTTTTGTAAATGTATTATACATTTTGTGTAGAGATCATTATCATGGAGATAATATAAATGTTGGCATAGATGTCATAAAACACCTTTAATGTCTTTCTGACAGATATTAAAAGCAATAAGCTGTGATCCTTTTTAATGGAAGGTTTCTAAGAGAACATTTCAATTATTGTCATTTTATGCTTTTACAGCCGGTTTCATTGTGTAACCTGATATATTTCTGAATTTTCTTCTGAAATATGCTCAGCAATTAATAATCTTATTGCTATTAATGTCACTGCTTTCCCATTTGTGTTTTTCTTAGTTATATCTACTAGGAATTGTTTTTTTTTTATCTTTACCCTTGTACTAAATATTCAGTCTTTTGATTATGAATTTCAGTCCCTCTCTCTGTCATCTGACTATTCATTCCTCTTATGTGCTCCCAGCCTACCTGATCTGTCTCTCCAAAAATCTCCTCCAGAAGCATTGGAGTCTGTGATGAAAAAGCTATGCTCCTTGTTCTTATCTGGAATCAAAACAAAGGACAAAATCTACAAGTGATCAGATTGACAAATAAGATAGAAAAGCATTCAAGAATTGGGGAGGAGATTCTACTGTTTATTATACATAAGTTTTAGAGTGGTTAATTCTAGGAGAAATAATCCGAGGTTCTAAACATTCTCTAAAAATGTGACAAGTATTCAGAGAGGACAAAGGCATCTAAGAATTGTAATGTGTGTTTATGTATTTGTGCATGTTTGGAGGGCTGACATTATTTAAATGTAAAAAGGTATGCTGAGCTTGGGGACAGTGGCGATATTGTTTGGAAAATTGCCATAGCTTGGCAACTACAGAAATACTGCTCTTCCAAATATAATTTATAATCTTTTTGTAAAAAGCCTAAAAGTCAAGGGATGAAAACTCACAGAATGGTGGTGAGTGGGAGAGTGTGGAGGCTGGGTGTAAGCCTCACAGAATGGTTAAATGCAGGAAAGAAAAGTAGTGCTTCATTTTTCTTTTACCTGAAAAGCTGTTGTCATCCTTTGCAGACACAATAACTTGGTTATTTTCCTTAGTTTTCTGATTCTGTGTGGAGAAGAATTAGACACACAAATCAATGACTGGATCAAACCATATGCTAATGTCAACAGTCAGCGGGAAGAAGCATCAATAAAAGTGACTCCATGGGGCCCCAGGAGACATCATTTTTTGATGATCATCTTCTCTGAATAGTTTCGTACATAAATATATGCCTATGTCTACATGTGCTTGCACTATCTTTTAAGAAATAATTTAGATTAATTAAATATATGCATATAATGGCCCTTGTAAATAAACACACCATGCCATTTGTCAAATTTACACTGTCTTGGGACAGATTCACTTCTCTCTGAAGTCCTTGAGTGTGTCTGCTATGCACACTTCAGTGAACACTGACACTGAATGCTAGCCATTTAGATTTAATTTTGGTCTTTTAGGGGTCCCACATAGCACTTTCCAGTGAGTGGAGATCGGTTTTGAAGAAGGGGGTCTTGTTGAAGTTTCTATCCTGTCTTGTTTTACAGGACACACATCTTAACATGTGTCCATCCTGGCTAAACCATGACTTGAACGGTCAAAATAAAATTGAATTCAATTTTTAAAGTCAATGTATTTTCAACTTTTTTTTTTTTTTTTGGTCATGGCTGGAGGAGGCTCTGAAATACAGAAAAGAAAAGGGATAGGATTATTCCAGTTGCTCAATTGTGGTCTCAGTACTTTTTGGGGGGAACAGATGTGCTGAGCTGGGGACAGTGGGGATTGCTGGATTAGAGGAAGGACTACTTCCATTAAGGGGTCTTTTCTAACGTCTACAAACAGCCAATTTAAGAGGGAAGGGAGGACCCAAAGCCTTGAAAGACTTTATTAGAAAGAGACCAGAAACCACATTTTAATGGAGGACCATGGCAGGAAAGAAGCCCTCCCAAACACATTGAATATTTCATTTCTGTGGGGAAATCTGGTGATTCATCTTTCCGGCGCATTTGTAACTGATTCTGCCTAAAGGTGCATTTAAATAATAATAATTAGCTTGAAGGACCCTAAAGGGGATATTTACATCTTTGTAGGAGGGCTGCTCCTCCAGTGATGGATGGTGGACTGGGCTGCCCGGGCTGCTGCTGCCACCACCGCTCGGTTTCTGGGGGGCAAGGGGAGGGGGTGGGGGCGGAGGCAGGTCCGAGCTGCCAGGGTCCCCCAGTTTTCCATCTTCTTGCAGCAGCCTGGAGTTGTTCAGGGTGAGCGGGAAAGCGCCCGCGGCGGTGGGCGCGCGGTCCCGGCTGCTCCCTTTCTCTGACAGGCCTCGGCCCTGGAGGAACCGGCCGCCGCCCACTAAGGGGTCCCCCAGTAAGACCCCAGTCTCCTCGTCTTCCTCCTCATCTTCCTCCGGGTCTCGACCTTCCTCCTCCTCTTCCTCGCCCTCTGGGGGCTTGTGGCCCTCCACGTCCACCTCCTGTTCTTCCTCCTCGTCGTCTTCGTCCTCAGAGCTGTCCTCGCTGGGGTAACTGCAGCTGGTGCCCCCGGGGGACAGAAGGCCTCGGTGGTGCGGCTGCGGGGCCAGCGGGGGCGGCGGTGGGGGCGGCGGCGGGGCTGGGTGGTGGCGCTCTGAGCCCGGGTCGTCCGGCTGCGGGGGCAGCAGCAGCAGCGGCGACGGCGGCTGCGTGGGGTGATGGTGGTGGTGGTGGTGGTGGGGGTGGTGATGGTGGTGGTGGTGATGGGCTTGGGCCGCGTGTGGCGCGCCTGCCGACGCCCCGTGCAACTTGGCCAGGCTTTCGGCGTCGTCCTTGCCGCCTACTGGCCGGAAGGCGCTCGAGTGGTGGTAGCTACTGCCGCCTGCCTTGCGCCCCTCCAGAAGGTGCGGGTGGTGGGGTGCGGGCACCCGGGCACCCGCGGGACCTGCTGCGGCGGACGCAGACCCTGACCCCGGGGTGGCGCCCGGGTCTGCGGGAGGCGTGGAGCCCGCGCTGCATTCCCCCCCGCTGCCGCCCGGGGGCGACTCGAAGAGAGTGTCGCGGCCGCCCGCGCTCCCCGCAGGAGGCGGCGGGCCCGGGCCCGGGCCGTTGGCTACCCCCGGAGGGGGCTGCCCGGGTGGGGGCGCCGCCTCGGCGCTCCCCCCGGCGCCGCCGGGCTCGGCCAGGTCCAAGAAGGCCTGGCGCAGCAGGGCCGGGCTGTCCCCGAGGGCGCAGCCTAGCGCCGAAGGCGGCTGCGGTGGGGGCTGTAGGTAGGTGGGCACCGGAAGCCCACCGGGGGTCCGCGGAGGCCAGAACATGCAGAAGGGCGGGTAGAAGGCATCCTTTCGGCCCGCGGGCCAGAAGAGCCCGGACAAGCCAGCCTTGGGAGCTGCACCTGCGCTCCCCGTGCCCGCGCCGCCCAGGGCCTCCGCAGCAGCGCTGGAGTCCTCCTTTTTGTGGCACAAGCCAAAGGCGGCTGCAGCTGCTGGGAAGGTGTACGGATGCGGGAAGAGCCCCCCGCAGCCCGGAAACTTCTGCAGCACGCCCCCGAACGAGCCCTTGCTGGGCACGGGGATGACCGGGTAGCTGCGCGGGCCTTTGCCGCCGGCCACCCCTCCTGCCCCTGTGCCGGCGCCGACGCCGACGCCGACGCCGGTCATGCAGCCGCCCCCCGCACCCCCCCCACCCGCCCCGGCGCCGCCCGAGACCGCAGCCACCGAGAGGCTGGCGGCGGCGGCCGAGAGGCTGGCGGCGGCCACGACGGCTGCTTCCTGCAGGGAGTCCTCGTCGTCGTCGAAGCGGGGCCGCTTGTTATGGGGGTGCGGGGCTCCCGCCAGCTCGGCGAGGGGGGGCGGCGGTGGGGGAGGAGGGGGCGCGCCCAGCAGGTGCGGACCCAGCAGGCCCCCGCCCCCGGCCACCGCGGCTGCAGCTGCCACTGCGGCCGCCTTGACGGAGCTGAGAGGGTGGCAGGCGGGGTGCGTGCCGGGCTGGGGCAGCGCGCGCTTGCGGCTGCCGCCGTTGAACATGGCTTTCACGTCCTCCCAGGCGAAGACGAGCTCGTCCTGTGGGCTCTTGTCGGTGAGCTTGAGATGACGGCGCCAGGAGTTGAAGTTGGCGGCGTCTGGCTGCGTATACTTCGCGTCAGGCGTGCGGTGGGAGTGGAAAATAAACTTGTTGGGTGAGAAGTACATGTTGCAGTAGCTGCATTTGATGCACTTGGCTCGAGAGCTGTTGTAGCGCGCGGGGATGAAGCTGCCGCGGCAGCCCCAGGCGCACTCGTGAGACACGTCGAAGGCGAAGTTGTCCGGCAGCTTGGGTGGCCTATTTTCTCCCAGGAACGACTTGCACAAACGCTCGGCCTCTCGCTTGGTGATCATGCCGCAGCGGCGTGACGAGATGGGCATGGCCCCGGCCCGACGCAGGATTTCTAGCTGCACCGGCGTGCACTGCACGCACGTGATGCCCAGCGCCACGCGGCGGTTGTGGATCTCGTTGTAGCTGAAGTTCTTGAGGAGAGTGTTGGAGATCTGCGCCAGGCACAGGCGCTCCTGCCCGTCGATCACTAACGACACGATGGGAATGCCGTAGAGGATCACCTGGCCCACCTGGTTGGGTTTGAGGTTGGCGTGGCCTGACCGAGGCTGGCTCAGCGCGTCGGGCTGGAAGGCGCTCGACGGCGAAGCCAGCAAGATGTCGTTGGGCCCTGGCAACGGGCTGGAAGCCATGTCCTCCGCCAACGAACTCCGGGGTGAGCCCTCCGGGTTGGCCTTGGCGACTGGAAGGGAAAGGAGAAAGCATAGAATTGAGCCTTTTCAGTGAAAACAGGGATGGGGCTAGTCACTAACTGAAGGATTGCAATCACTTTCTTACTTTGGTTAAGAGATGATTATTACTGGGCAAGGGACCAAATTTCAGTTGCAATAAACTCGTCTGTTAATTTCTTTCAAGGTCGCCCTTTAGAAAATGCAGCTACTTGGAGGTAGCAATTTTTCTTCTAAGCGTCCAAAATAAATTAACTATGTATGTTGTTTAATATATATTTTATATTATATATATTTAAAAAGTAGCCATTTCCTGAGAAACTCAGGACCTCATCTCCGATTTATGGAAACAGTTGGAATAAAATGAGGTATCCGTTAGAAATGAGATAGTAAAGACAGTTGTAACTAGTACAGGTTATAAAGTTATGGAAAACTGGGGCTTGGCCATTAAAACCCAGATTTAAAGAGAGAGTGAGACTATTCACATTTGCTTGAAAATGAATTGATTTTGGTTAAAAAAAAACAAACCCAAACCTTTTTAAAAATGATTTTTGTGGTATTTGTGGTTTCCTTGGGGAAATTCACCACTGGTTAAACACAGCTCATTAAAGCAAAACGAAATCCCTTCCCTCCCATCTTTGTTTGCTATTAGATATTTTGTTACTGTGATTAGAGGGATTTTTATTTTTTGAAAAGTGTAAAAATGTATAAAGCCACATATATGATTCCACCAAAACAAGGTGTTTGGTTTTCACTTTTTCAAAAACCCATTTGTTGAACAGAGAGGTTCTGGTTCCAGACAGCCAACTTAAAGAGATGAAGTTGAAGACCTGTAACCATTTAAAAACTGTTTTCCTGTCTTCTCCATTTCAAGGAGCATGTAAGTACAGGCTGATGTGTTAAACCCAGAAACAGTGCAAAGAAATAATTCTTGGAGATCTTTATTGGTGGACTTTAAAAGGCAAATTCAGTTTCATGTGAAGCAAGCTCTGTGGCATTTTCCCTCTTATCTATGTCTATGGCTCTGTATCTTTGTAGGGATAAAGGTGCCTCACAATAAAGAAGATAATCCCTAGAGTAGGTAATTGTGAGAGCATTGAAATCAGAAGCCCGTGGTTTAATCTACCATAAAATTTCTGATTTCATCTTGGGCCTATGATACCCCATTGGATACCAGAGAATATCCAGGAAGTTGAAATATATAGAAAAAGAAAACTGTGGCAATGCTGGCAAATTAAAAATAAGCTAAATGCCACTTTCCCTAGGGAAACCATGATCTTTCCACAGTGATTTGTCCAGCACATAGGCCAATGCTATCCTTTGCCCTGGAAAATTTCCAGTGCCCATGACATAGCCACTCTTGGCCAAGTACATCGGATTTTGTTACTACAGAGATTTCAAAGGATATGATAGCTTACCCCCTCATCCACATTGTCACACCTGTCCTCCTTCTCTGGTCCCCTAGGACATCTATACCACCACCTTTGACCTGCAGGCCCGGGGATCCTCAACTCTCATTACATTCAGTGGCCTCCTGGAAGGCCAAATAAACCTTGTCACGCGAGCGAGCGAGCGAGCTAGCGAGGGAGCGGAGAGCCTGGCTTGTCACTTTGGATGGATCAGCGACAGTATTTCTGGGGAGCGGGACCGTTAAATGACAGTTCAAGGCATAGCGATATCTAAGCCTGACACAACCAGCCCAAGCTTCGCGAAATGGCCCTTCAATGTTTCTTGCCCTCCCAAATAAGACTCATTATTTCAGTAAAACCCTGGGATAACTGGAATTCTCGCGCCCCAGAAATCTGAGCAGTGGGCTGGTGCAGGCGAGGAGCTGGCTCCGTGGTAGGAACCAGCAGCCTTAGCCACTGCCCGTGGACCCGGCAGCAGTGTCTCCTCCAGGTGTCCTCCACCTTCACCCCAAGCCCTCCCAGAAACTCCCATCAGAGCGAGACGCGAATAGGAACGTTCAAATTGGGGGAATCTTTCAAGGGATAAAAGGGTAAAGAGACAAGTAAAAGTTAGTTGAACTGAGAAAGCAAGCTGGCGAACTTCCCTATTCGGCTCAGCAGTCAGTGTGACCCCTCGTTGAATTCTCCTGCCTCCCAAACCCATCACACCCGAATCCCACCGCTGCCCCTCAAACTAACGCGGAAAATTCCACCGCTGGAGAACTCAAATAGTGAGCCGAGAACTGTGTGCCGAGTCCGGGCCGGGCCGGCGGGTTCCGGCAGTACCTGATAACCCCTAGATGTCTTTAGGCGCGTGGCTGCCGGCCCATCTTCTAAGGACGCTCGGAGGCGAAGCATCCAAGCGGGTCCTCGAATCCAGCGGGCGGGACTCTGGCGGGTTGCGCGCGAAGATCCGGGCGCCGGTGCGAGCTAATGGCGCCAGAACCCCGGCGGGGTTACAGTAAGGGCCTGGATTGCAGCGGAGGGTCCCCTGGACCGCAGAAAGTGTGGGTACGCGGAAACCCGTGGCAGGCGAGCCCCAAGTGGAGCACAGTCTGACAGAGCCTTTCTCTGTCTCTGAACTCGTGTTGGACCGAGGGGACGCCACCCAGCGGGCAGGATGACGTCACCGTCTCCCTGACACTCCACATTAAAGGGCTGGCATGTTACAGGGAGGGAGGGGGGAGCAAAAGCGAGAGCGAGCAACGCAGAGATCCTTTCTCAGCCTGCGCGAACACTACCACCTAACCAACCCGAAATCGACAACCTCCCAACCCAGGAGTAAAAGGGCTGGCTTCACAAATCTGAGCCAGGTGTGGAAAGCTGAATGGTTTGCGTGCATCCCAGGGATCTAAATATTGGAGGCCCTGGATTCTAGTTAATTCAGATTAACTGTGTCTCGGAAGACAGTATCCAGAGTCAGCCGAGAAAATAGTTTAGTTTCAGCGCCTTGTTCAAAACAATGCCAAATGAGAACAGGGAGAGAAGTTTCCACAGAGGGTGCCCAATCTGAAACGTGGAAGAAAGCATGGAGAATGTGCCTACTTTCTTGTCTTTTTAGGACAAGATACAGAGAGTTATGGTGGCAGTCTCTGTTTTAAAACGTGGACAGTTGGGTGAGGGCTCAAGTGTGCATTTGTACATTTATCCATCAGCTTCATTCGGAATAGTTCTTTAACCCATTTTGTAAGATCTAAGGCGGCCACCTTAGCACGAGGAAACGGTGGCAGTGGCGGTGTAGGGAATCAAGGACTTCCCCAACCCTGACTGGCTCTTGAACAAGTTGTCAGTTCCCCTGGAGAAAGTGATTTCCTAGAGGATCCTGTAGGAGCATGCACTTCCCTTCTCCCTAAAGAGGGAGAGAGCAAGGATGAGAAAGGACTATTCCCTATAGCTCCCCTAAATGAGGCACACCCTAGGGTATTAATGAAGCATCGAATATTATCTCCAAACCAATCAGCTCTTAAAAGTCAAAGTAACCACTGGCTAGTTTATCAGAAAGGAAAGAAGTTATTTATTTGGAGAACATTCTAAGTAGGATACCTGCTGGAGGAGATGGGGGTGGGAGTGGGAAAAATGTTATGTTCTTCCTTTACTACCATAGCTGAATTTTCAATTGCTGCCCAGTGAAGCACAGGCTTCAAATTGGAAAGTCACATTGTGGAAATGATGGAACAACCTCCACTGAGCCCAAAGACCAACCATGCTGGGTCATAGCATCAACAGTACATGACTGCTAACTACAAGAAAAAACACATGAAATCCTAACACTTCATTAAAGGTTAATAAATCCGAGGAAACTCAATTGAATGTGACCTGCTTGTTGTTGCTCAGGAGTCGCGGCTTTTCAAAATGAATATTTTGAGCCTGGAAAATTGCAATATTTGTTTCAGCAGAAGTTGCAAACAATGCTGAAGTAATTTTTCACTTATCTCCTAGTTACTAAAGGCATTAAGGGACTAAAATCAACCCATCGCTCCTTCCCTAATCCCTGAAAAGAAGGAAAACTCTGTCTTTCTGCCTACTAAAGAGTGCCACTGTTATTCTCAAGCCCCCTTTCTAGGAAAAATGAAGACTCCACACACCTTCAAGGTTTCCAGGGTCAACCCTAGTTCTACCTCCTCCTTTGCCTTCTCTTTGGGTTCAGAGGCTCCCACAAAATGAGTTATGGCTTGGTCACTGTTCCCAGTCCCTGGGCAGTTAAAAAGAAAAGCCCCCCTGCAAAGAAAGATTGAAAATGGGGTGAATTTTAAGGCTAAAAATGGGGAGAAATAAGAATTTCTGTTACTGCAGGAACATACCAGAGGGAAATGCCTGGGTGCTGCTGCTGAGGCAGTACTGTGACGGTATTCACATTTTATTGCCAAGTTCCCAAAAGGCTTCTCTTCCCCCCAAAGACACCTATTTTTTAAAAAGAAATGTCTTCAAAAACATTTTTCTTTATAAAGAAAAATAGACTAAATATTTACCTTTTCTCCCAATCTCAGGATACTCGGAGGAGTGAACCCACACCTGGGAGGGTACCTATAATCATCTCCTTACCTAAATCTTTAAACACAAACATTTCCACAGCCCTTTGGCACTTATTGTATACAAGCCTGTAACTTTAATACCAAAAAGCATTTCCCTAGAGAGAGAAATGTGTAGCATGAGGTTAGTTTTATACAAATAATTCCAAAAATAGCGCAGTATTTTATTTCCCCAATGAATCTGGGGGGCCTGTTTGAAAGGGCAAGCCAATTGTATTTTTGGAAATTGAAGGTGGAGAACATTAGTTCGAAGCAGACTCTACTCCTGGAGGATCCTTGTCTTGATACCTTACCTGGAATGTGAAATTACAGCCTTTTGGTGTGTTTTGAGTCCACAAACAGCTTTTTGTCACTCACTATCTCTGATCCTTTGCTTTCTCCTCAGTTTGAACAACACTATTGTTAGTCCTCCTTGGGGTCTTTGTCAGTCCCTTCCTTGGCCCCTAGACCCCGGCCCCTGGCAGGTTCAGGGGAAGGGGGCCATCGGTGTCAGGAGGAGGCTATTCTGGACTGAGTTAATCAATGATTTCCTACTTGAGCTGACATATATTTTACGCGTTGGAACTCTTCTCAGCCGGCTAATTGATTCAAATTGTTTTATTGGTTAAACTGGTGTCACCCGTTTGTATGATCTATCATTGTACCGAAGAAGAGCATTTCCACTCTCATCTCCTTTCTAGGCGGCTGCGGTTCACCCAGGCCAAGGACAGGTAAAGGAGCCCAGACGCTGGACCGAAAGGAAAGCCGCAAACCGAGCCAGCCCCCTCGGAACTGGAGAGGAGATGCCTGGATGCAAGCGCTTGAGGGAGGCCGGCGAGGCAGCGCGGGTAGAGGTTTATAGCTGCGGCTGTTAACAACTTGTTTAGGGCAATTCAAATCAAGCCTGGGCCAGGCCCAGCCCAGCGCCTTCCACTTTGAAACCAGTTTGTTTCTGAGTTGTCAACCTGGTGCGGTATGAGGCCTAGGCCAAAACCCAGGTTGGAGCTGTCCGCGGTGCTGACACAGTCCATTGCTCCGAGGCATAGCAGATCACGAAGAAGGCTGTCATCCTGTAACCATTAGGGCTGTAGATTCAGCTTCGGGCATGGAATGGCCTGGTATACTTAAAAGGCAGGTAATGGGTGACACAAAGCCACACCCCCTCTTCTCTCACACCTGATGCATTGAAGATCCGAGAAATTCACCCTTCCCCCAATTCCATATCTTCCCTTGGACTGACAGCAAGGAAGATAAAAGCCATATTATAACTTAATTATAATCAGAGACACATGCATTATTCCTTTTTCCCAACCCCAGCCTATTATTGAGGAACTCATAACAGTTACAGATCAAAAATCACCCTCTAATCCTCTTTCCTATTTCCTTTCACCTCATTCTCACTCTCGGCATTGGCATTTCTCCTGGCATTGCTCCCAGTAAGTGCTCTTGGCATTGGCATTCTGCAAGATATGGTTTCCTTTTTATTCTAAGGTTTTCAAAAAGAGACCCTGACATCTCAGAAGGAAAGAGAAAGAGCAGCTGAGTTGGAGCATGGAAGATCCTGGAATCTCAGAAAGTATAGGGGATTCAGAGTCAAATGACTGTGTACAAATTTCTCTGCAACGACTTATGAGTTTTGGAATCTTGCTCAGATACCTAACCTTCTTAAATCTCAATTTCTTCATCTGCAAAATGAGGAGATTTCTATCTAGCCCACAGAGACATAGTGAGAGTTAAATAATCTCCTACCTATGAAGTGTTTGGGACACAGTGGCCATTAAAGGTAGATTTAAAAGTACTTTCTTTGGAAAATAGAGACATGATCTGGACCTGCTCTGTTACAGGATATGTTAGAAATTTTCTATAACTTCAGAATAAAACCTATCAAAGGCATTTTATCTGAGTGATAATCAGAAAGGGAACCAGGTTCTCTGGAAGAACATAAGTTTTTTTATTGAAACTTTATCCTGTCAGTAATTGATCTATGTGTGTTTTATATACAGATGGCCAGAACCCCAGCTAGTATTGTTTAACCCATTTTAAGTAATTTGGCATAATGGCCATAATGAGAATGGTTGCTGATAACTGTCAGTCCTCACTTTCTATCCCCCAAAACTTTTGACAGCCTGGCAAGCCCAGTTTAGTCCTTGGTTTTTGCTCCATTTCTCCAGCTAGAGTTACATAAAGCAAACCAAGGATCAGAAGCAAACCAAATACTCATCTATGATGGAAGTCATAGGACAAATGAGAAAGACTTCTGAGAATTCTGGAGTGGACTCAATCTTTGAGCCTTCTGTAAAATATTGTCTATAAGCAAGGACCCTCTTTTGCTGGGGCCAGAGCTACCTGAGAGAAGTACAATGAGAGCACAGATCTCAAATTGAAACTGGAATCAACGAAAGGAAAGGAGGGGAAACTGAGCACATTTTGTAAGACCGTATCCCTGCCCCTTTGAGCCTTTTGCACCAGGGACCCTGGGAGTCAAGTCCTTTTTACACTTCAAACAAACACATCTCTAAGAAATAGAAATAATGGGAGGAGGAATCAAGATTTAATTTCCCTTAATCAGAGAAAA